GATACCCTTCAAAAGATTAGTGACTACATGTTCTACGCCTAGTGTGTCGAGTATTCCCCACAATTCCTCTTGAACCACGCTATCTTACGCTCCCTTGATATCCAAGAATGCTAGCCACAGGGGCCTGTGTTCCTTTTCTGCTATATCGATGCACTGCGTTTGTGAGAACAGATTGTCTTCCAACTTCCTGTGTTTCCGAAACCCATTCTGCAGTTCCCCCTGCACCCCCTCATCTTCTATCCATGCCTGCAGTCTTTCCTTTATAATCTGCATCGCCAGCTTGTAGACCACTGATGTCACTATTATAGAACAGTAGTTGTTTATGTCAGCTTTGTTTCCCTTTCCTTTATAGATCATGCTCATCCTGCTAAGTTTCCATCCATCGGGAACTTCACCGTCGATTATTATTTTGCTCACTGCCTCTCTCAAAACCTGCTTAGACTTCGGACCTAATGTCTTTATCAGCCTAATGGGAATGCCATCTGGGCATGTTGATGCACTACTATTAACCTTTTTCTCAGCGCTTTCCCACTCTCGTTGTGAAAATGGAGCCATTGCACCACTTGATTCGTCCTTGTCTATTGTGGTGCATAAAGTACTTCTTTGTTGAAATTTGTCTGTCACCCTTGCTCCTATATATTCAATAGCTTCGTACTCTTCTATCCTGGCACCTTGGGCTGTAGTTATAAAACTCTGCTCTAGACTCGTCTCATTTCTGAGGGAGTTTAGATGGTTCCAAAATTTTGCACCTGCCTTTCTATCTTTTTATGTACTTCTGCCAGCCACTGAGCTCCCTTTCTTCTAATCTTTTCGTTAATCAGAAGGAATGCAGCCCTTCTACAGCTTCGAAACGTTTCCCATTTTCTTTCAACATCATCTGTCAATTCACCCCGCTGCTTCGCATGTCTGTGTTCCCTAGAGGCTTCCTGACGTTTTGCTATGGCTCTCTTAACTTCCTCATCCCACCAACGTTTGGGTTTGTGTCTTCTTTTCTGGGGTGACTTGTTACGCGTCTTAGCAAGCTCTAGCTCAGAGTCCAATTAGATTCATGTATGTCCACACTGTCTTATTATCCTCCGTGATTACTTTCTCAATTTGTTTAGTGGCTGTTTCAATTTGCCTTTCTGAATAAAAATTTTCCTGTAGGTGCTATTTTGTCTCCTTCCCACTTTCACTGCTCTTCCAAAACTTAGCTTGATTCGTTTGTGATCACTACGCAGACTTCTGGAGCCACCTTCATCTATGTGCATTCCCCTGAGCTTATCATACATCCTAAGTGACATCAGTGCATAATCTATCGTCGACTGCAGCCTTCCTACCTCCCATGTTATTTGCCCTTCACACTTCTCGGTACTGTTGCAAACGATCAAATCAAGCCTTTCACACATATCCATGATAATTTTGCCTGTCGAGTTGGTATAACCATCTATATCTTCTATGTGCGCATTCATGTCTCCTAGTATAATTATCTCGCACTCTCTTCCTAACTCCTGAATGTCCTTGGATATACACTCTACCATTGCCTGGTTTTCCTCTCTGGCCTTTGCTCCCGTCCAAAAGTACACGAAACCAAGGAGTGTCATTTGACCTGCCACTTTCCCTTTTAGCCAAAAATGTTTCTTGCACTCCTGCTTGACCCTTTGCAAGTCTGTACTTTTATGAATGAATGCCCCAATACCAGCCCCCTTTCTGCTGCCTTCTGTTCTATTACAGTATTCCCACGCGTAGTCCCGATTGTTCGGAGGTTGTTCCATGTCCCTGAGATGTGTTTCTACAAAACCGTATACCATCGGCCTCTTTTTCCTTAGATGTTCTTCGATCTCTTCCCACTTCAGCCTGTTTCTACCACCCTGCATGTTAACGTGCCCTATGTCTGAATGAGCTGGGCGCTCATGGCTACGTCTATTTATTCCCCGGACTCTACCTATCTTAGACATTGGTGCCACTTTGGAATCGTATCTGTCCATAACACCTGTCGAAGAGTCTCCCTGGTTGTTTTCCTCGTTACTAGCTATCCTGCACCTCGAAGGGCTCGCTTGCCCCCCAAAAAGCTACTGCGCGTCCTGCAAGTCGCCAACCCACCTGATGACCTAGTATCCCATCGAAGTGAATTCTGTCTCGTTGAAAACCACCCCACCTATGCACCTCTCTGTTTATTTCCACCACCTCAAAGCCTTTCTCTCGACTCATCCGCCATATCTCTTGGTTTGCGTTGACCACCGCTCTTTGCAGGTTGCTATCACGCACCGGTACCTCCGGTATCGTGCATATCACTACCTGTACCTTAGGAGAAGTGGCGCGCATGTCATCGATGCCTTTCGCCAGTGTAGCTGCTAGTCCTGCTGTATCTTCATTTAAGACATCGTTTAAACCGCCTGAAATTATCACGAGGTTTCGTCTATCAGCTGTAGTTTTGAGTTTTGCGCTCGCTTGCCTCGTGACTGCTTCAAGCTTGCGTCCTGGGAGCGCCCCTACTGCAACCCTCTTGTCACCTCTTACCCTCTCTTTGATGGCTTCTGTGCATTGATTTAAATTCGAGTCTCCGGCGATTATCACCTGCTGTGACTTTTCAGCTGGAGCGTCCTGCACCTGGGGGCTACTTGCACCTGTGACGCCGGCTGCTTTGTCCCCTCCCAGCCCCACCACTACCTCGCTGAAGCTTGGCCTTGCGACAGTTGAACCGGCTAAACCTGTTTTTTTCCAAACTTGCTTGTTTTTCCTTCTTCACCGTTATGGTTGCCGTTTCTCTACTGTTCTCTCCGTAGGCCGCTTCTTTGTTCAGCTTCGCTAGTGCTTCCTCGGTGGGCTTCAGTCTTTCTCCCATTGCCCTCGTTTTCTCTTGCTCTGTCGCCTACGCAGTCTCGAGCTCATCGATTCTCACCAGCAGTTCACTTTGGGCAACCATCATTTTCTCCATTTTTCCTCGACCTCACATTGCCTACACTTCGCGTCCGCCTCTTCTCCATCCGCTTCTACACTTGAGTCCACTTTCAAACCACTCCACATCCTGAACACTTTACAGTCTTTTTAACCATGTCTTTCTGACACCAATTGTCCCTATACTCGATAATTACTAAACTCGAGCCGTGCACTACGAAAAAAAGAAAGTCTAAGCTCTACTACAAAAATTTGCGTGTTCAATGTACGCGCACCTCCCCCACGGGGTGGCAAAAGAAAAAAAACAACAAAAAAATTTCAAACACACACACCCGCACTAACTAATAAATACCTGGTACTGGCCCCCGAAAAAGCCGTACCATAAAATTAGTGCTACGAAGATTTCAACCACTGCCTTATAATTATAAAGACAAACTCAAAACATGCAAAAACACTTATCTGCGCATCGATTCGGAGCGCTCGAAAAACACGTCCATCCACCGTCACAGCCCGAACAGAACCAATCTCTACATCATCTACAATTAACCACAGCGCCCTCTGTTGCTTTCAAGTTGAAGGTTACTTGCAAAACGCTTACCACCAGCGCTCTCTGTTGCTTATACGTTGAAGGTTACATGGAAAATGGTTCAGAAATGTCAGACAGATGAAGACCTGTGACGGACAAACGGGAGTTGGCGGACACCGTGAGGTCTTAAGGAGCTTGGCCCCTAAAAGGGCAATAGCCAAATGCGCTTACGAGAAGCCACCTGCAAAAGGAGCGCGTCTACATCTTGTGGAGACCTGCCTGAATCTGCCTGGCGGCAGGCGAGCGCCTGGCAAACGCAAGCTACCAGAGAAAAGACTGTCACGGGTGGCTAATCAGAATCAGCTGTGCACTGTGACGTGTGCTAGCGTGACGTCAGGGAAAGGCGTTGTCCAGACAAGTAGGGACATGCGTCTACGTGCAGAGAAAGGCGTCGCACAGCTCGCACACGAGAAAAAGGCCTGGCGACGAAAGCGTGGTGGACATGTTCCCGACGCTTGAGGTGCACAGGACTAGCGCACACGTTAGCAGAAAAGAAAGGTCCCACAAAGTACATGTAGGTGTTCATAACAAATTTCGTAAATCATGTCTATTATTTTAGTTTTTCCGAGCAAAATGTGTAATCGTGTAAGCTTCCAACATGTCATTGTTATAAACCCCACTTTTTTCACCCCGGTAACTGAGTTCCACTGGCACTGTAGGTAGCAGCTTAAGTATTAGGACTACAAAGAGAACAAGCCGCAGGGGCCTGTTGAGCTTCTAAGGGATGGCGGGTAGCCGTCAGTGGTGGCGAACCGGGGCACAAATTGCTTTCTCAAAGCAACAATTCACGACACGTTCAGCACATCCGTTCCTACTTGTATGATTTGATTGATATGTGAAATTCATCGTCCCAAAACCACGACATGATTTTGAGAGGCACCGTAGTGGAGAGCTCCAAAAGTTATGACCACCTGGGGTTCTTCAGCGTGTGCTCAAATCTGAACACACGGTCCTACAACACTCCCGCCTCCATCGCAAACACAGCCGCCGCCACCGGGATTTGTTCCCGTGACCTGCGGATCAGCAGCTGAGTACCAGCCACTAGAATACCGCGGCGGGGCTGTTCATACTTGGGGTAGTGTGATGACGCACACTACCGAATGATCACAATAGGCCTGCTGGCTCGAGGTTGCGCCATAACGCGCGGTGAACCACTCACGAAGCACACAACAGCATCTCCCTACAAATACCGTTGATGTTTTTCCTGGGCTCCTGGGAAATGGTCGTCTGGCCTGCAGCGACTTGTTGAACTGAATTTTGACTCATACTGAGGATGTTCGGCGGCAGTAAATTTGCGCTTAGCATCGTGGTCCTACATCCCCGTCAGTGATATTAACCTGAGGACATCAATTAAACTCGCGTTTCCATAAAATTTGTATTTCATTCTGCCTAGTGAAATATAAATTCTCGTTGTTTAGATAGTTCATTCGCAAACATGCTTGCTCTACACGGTGTATAAACACTAAGAACCTAACGACCTCTTCTCATTCATTTTGTTGTCAGTATTACAATTACGCTTCCTATTTTCTCTATGCAGTTCCTCAGCCGCCCCTTTGTACAGTGCCTCCACCTGAGCTAGCGAACGGCGCTTACATCGAAGTGCCAGAAGAACGCCTCGCCCTTTATCATTGTTTCGACGGCTTCTGGATTAGTGGTTCCACGAACCTCACCTGCGTAAGATCCAGAGACGGCAAAGATACGTGGCTGCCTGAGACTTGGCCTGAGTGTCATCGTAAGTTTCACGTGGCAGAAAACAGTTTAGAATCCTGACGTCGTGGGAACCAATTTTATGCATGAAAATTATAGAGTTGCATATGTGACATTTTTATTAAGCCCACCATACACCATGGATCGGCGTCTTTGTATATATTGAGTAAATGTGCACACATAAAGAACTTGCCAGATACGATGGCGACACTTGAAACTTGAGGAACAACTAGAGCTCTTCAGTAAGAACAACAGCCACGTTAAAGCACCAATCTAAATTTTATTGAAAAGAAGTTGAAGTTATGGTACTGAGACGTGCATACCATTAAGGAGTGTGGTAATTGGAAGTGTTGGTAATTCATGTTTTTTCAGCGCACAAAGGAACAAAGACGAAAAATGACGAGGACACAACAATGATTTTCAACACCCGCTTTACACCATTCGGTGGTACATAAATATCCAGCAGAAAGCTGCACATACAGGCGCAATGTACAGGAAAAATTTACGTAAAAATTAAAGGTGTAGGTGCGCGTGGAATGTTTAATATGTACAGAAAACAAAACAAAAGACGCCGCATCTTTAATTTACAAGAGTAAAAGGCCTTCGAGAATGTCAGTGGTGCGAAGAGGAAGAAGAAGTATGCTTTATTTTCAATGAAATTATTTACAAAACCTCAGTTCCATCAAAATGGTGGTGCAATGAATGCGATGACAACATGTGCGAATGTTTCACGAAGCAAGGCTAGCATTTTTTAAAGCAATAATATTTGTAGTAAACATGTTCTTGCTAATTAACCAAGTTTCCTGTGGCGCAGCCACAGTAAATGACCACAACGAGGCTCGTGCGTTGTGACGGCGTTCATGAGAAGCTCCTTCCGTGGGGAGTGCATGCTGGTATGCGCCGTGTGTAGCCGCTGGTAGCAGTTTGGTATGTGTAGAGCACATCTACGTGTGGACAGCAGCTCCAGGTAGAATTTTGGCACGGCCTTTACGTGTTGACAACGCAGCTCGTAGAAGCTGCCACCTGCTTTGGGGGCAAGAGCCTCTTGCGCTGGTTATACCCGTGATAGCGGGGCAACAATAGCCCCTCCCCCTTGTTCGCTAATGAGATAAGCACGCACACAGACCCCTGCCGGAAAGGCGATGTTCGCTCTGCAGAAACAGGAGGCTAGCACAATCTCTTTCACCGTACACGTATATATATATATATAATATATATATATATATATATATATATATATATATATATATATATATATATATATATGATTCAAAAAAGAAGTACTGTGGGTTCGGTGGAAGTATAATTAAGAAATAAAGGAACACACGAAAATTTAATAGTTGCTTACTCTACGTTTCAGCAGTGGCACGGTCTTCGTCCGGATTCACGTATGGTGGGGCACCGCTTCGTTACGATATCCAGCATCTCGCGGTACCTGGCAAAATCCACGTTGCCGGAACACAATGGGACGTCATTTCTGCCAACTTGAAGGATGAGCGTTTCTGTTAACGGAGGCACAAACTGCAATAGGGAGCTTACATCACTAATGGTAGCACCACTCTGAGAGATGAAGGCTGGCGTACCCGCATGAAATGGATCCAAATGCTGGTATAAGTATTTTGTCTGCGAGTCACCCAAAATGGCTGTCGATGTGGCTCTCTTAGGGTAATCGCAGTCAACAATATTCGTAGTGGCTTTTCCGGGACCGACAGTAGTCAAATCATTCAAAAAAAACTTCTGTGGATACGATGCAAATATAATTAAGAAATAAAGGAGCACTCTTACGAAAATTTAATAGTTGTTTACTCGACGTTTCGGCCGTGGCACGGCCTTTGCCAGGATTCTGACGGAGGCCGTGCCACGGCCGAAACGTAAACAACTATTCAATTTTCGTAAGTGTGCTCCTTTATTATATATATATATATATATATATATATATATATATATATGTATATATATATATATATATATATATATATATATATATATATATATATATATATATATATATATATATCAAGCAAGTGTCTTTTGTGAATCTAGTGATAAATAGAAATTGGCTTGAGCGGACAAACGTACGAAAACATTTATTGCTCCTACGTTGCGGCCAGGGTCTGGCCTTTGTCAGGGAATGCATTGTAAACGTCAATGTGCTGCTTATATACATTGGGGTCCCCCAACACGTGTTTATTTATTATCAAGTGTCACATATATGACAGTGGCACACAAATCAACATGATAAACAGCACGATGAGATAATGATAGGACTATATCACGAAATGATAATATACGGTGAAGTGTGCGCAGCAAAAAAGGGCGTTTTTCACAGTCAAGGAAAGGATCAACATAACAAGGGTGATTATGTACCGCGAATGCATTTAACAACATTGCGTTAAAACAATTCGATGAACTAACAAGAAACATAGGTAAACAACCAGCAACAATGCGCTAGAAGAATTAACAAAAAACAGGTGTAAAGCAACGAGAACAGCAATATAAAGAAAACAAAGGTGAATCATGTGGCAATCGTGATTTGAAAAAAAAAAACCTTGGTAAAAGTGAGATACATGGCATTCATGAGAATGAATTATAACAGAATTGTAGATAACAGGCTGAAAACTGATGAAAGCGGCATACATGTGATAGGGAATTTAGCCTTGTCCGTGACATAGTGATCCCGTTGCTGAACGTGCGCCCAGGAACATGAGCTTTCCTGCACTTTCGTTAATGCCGAATGACTTTGAATTTGTAGATGAGAAGTGATTAGCGTGATTACCGTTCGTGGTGAGATTTAAAATCAGATTCTAATATGGTTATCTATATAGTTATGCTGTTAAATTATCGAGTGAGTTTCCTGTCAAATTCGGGTGCTTAGATAGGGGGAGGTAAGGAAAAGTTGTGACATGCGCCTCGTGGTTATTAAACCGCAGTCTGAATGGTGTCGCTGTCTGGCCTAAGTACTGAAGCTTACAGACTGAGCACTCAAGTAGGTACATACAGTTACTCTTATCGCAAACGTAATCACCATTAATTTGACGCCGAACTATGGGCTGAATTAGAGGATGTCATGTGCACCCAAACCTTGCAACGTGGTTTGCCACAAGGGTGGCAACGTGAATAGGCAGGATGAGTTAGTACAGATTCGCCAGTCGAGAAACTTGCACAATATGCTGACCTACTTGAGTGCTAAGTTTATAAGCTTCAGTACTTAGGTCAGACCGCAACACCCTTCAGACAGCAGTTTAATAACCACAGGGCGCATGTCACAACTTTTCCTAACCTACCCCTATCTAAGCACCTGAATGCGACAAGACATTCATTCGATAACCTAACAGCAACCATATTAGAATCTGGTTTTAAATCTCACCACGAAAGAGAAGCACGCGACTCATTTCTCATCTACAAAATTAAAGCACTGTCATTCGGCATTAACGAAAGCGCAGGAAAGCTCACGTTCCTGGACGCACGTTCAGCAACGGGATCACTATGTCACGGACAAGGGTAAATTCCCTATCACATGTCTGCCGCTCTCATCAGTTTTCAGCCTGTTATCTACAATTCTGTTATATTCCATTCTCATGAATGCCATGTATATCACTTTCACCAAGGTTTTTTTTTTCAAATCACGATTGCCACAAGATTCACCTTTGTTTTCTTTATATTGCTGTTCTCGTTGGTTTACACCTGTCTTTGTTAATACTTTTAGTGCACTGCTGCTGGTTGTTTACCTATGTCTCTTGTTAATTCATCGAGTTGTTTTAACGCAATGTTGTTAAATGCATTGGCGGTACATATTCACCCTCGTTTTGTTGATCCTTTGCGTGACTGTGAAAAACGTCTTTTTTAGCCGCGCAGACTTCACCGTATATTATCATTTCGTGATATAGTCCTGTCATTATCACATCGTGCTGTTTTGCATGTCGATTTGTGTGCCACTGTCATATATGTGACATTTGATATTAAATAGACACGTGTTGGGGGTTCCCAATGTATATAAGCAGCATGATGACGTTTGCAATGTATTCCTTGACGAAGGCCAGACCCCGGCCGAGACGTAGGAGTAATAAAAGTTTTCGTACGTTTGTCCGCTCAAGCCACTTTTTTTTATCACTGGATTCACAGAAGACACTCGCTTGATATTCAAAGACTATGAATCACGCACGGACAACGTCAAAAACTACTTGCGTGAAGTTACCAAGGACTGCCGTGAAAACGGCGGTCATAGGCGACTCACAAACGAAGTATATTTTTTATCAATTTGACCCACAAAAAGAAGACACACCAGCCTTCTTTAGGAAGCTTGGTGCGGGTATAGACGACGTCCCGTAACTCTTCAAGTTGGTTCCACCAACGACGACTCATCTGATCATCCACATTGGCCCCAATGATTTGGTGAAAAGCAGTGGAAGTGTGACCTTCTCCAGGTACAAGCACCTTCTCGGTGTTGTTATCAGCGAAAGGGCCAACATCCATCGTATATACGCCAGTCTGATCCTTCTTCAAAGCCTAAAGCGCCGCCGTAGTGGCCACAATGAAGCTTTGGTCCGACACTGCAACCGTGAGGCGTGTGACTTTAACAGCCGTTTCGTATGTTTTGCCGATGCTCTAGACAAGCGTATTTCCTCGACCATGCCTTGAAATGGTTCCCGTCAAATCGCGTCTTCTCAGCCGACGGCCTTCAACTTAGTTTGAAGGAGTTGTAGTGATGGCCAGTCACATCAAGCGCTAGTCCTTTCGACATCTTTTTAATTCGTCACCGTCTTACTGGGGCGACCACGCAACCACCCAGCCGCCCAAGCGGATTAAACTTGCTTGCTACCTCCGTGAGATCTACGCACTAGCCAGGCTTTCGCCAGCACACCAAGTCCACAAAGACCTTCTACCAACGCCAGTTTGCCACCTCAACCACAGAGGCACCCCCGCAACGCAACTAAAAGATCTGAAATTGATTCTTCATATTCCCATTCATACTCTTTGAGAAGTGCTAATCGCTCTACAACTGCGACTACTTCCCGTGATTGACTC